TAGCTTTCATTTCAGGTTTGCGTAAGAAAATGAGTCTTTGAAGGAAACTGCGTGACTCTTTGTCCACCTGATTCTCTCTTCCTCGGCCCGCTTCAGCTCCTCGTCCCTCTTCAGGACCGTCAGTATCGCCTCCTGCTCCTCCTCCGTCAGGTGGCTCAGGTCGATCATGCTTTCCCCTCCCCCTCCTGTTGCTGCTTCTGTGAGAACGCCCGACGTGCGCTGCCTCTGTTGAACAAATACGGCCGTTTACCTCCTGAGAAGGATGTATTTGCGCACAGCAAGTTACTGCAGTAACAATACATTGAAGAAAAAAAACCCCCAGAGAGGAAAGAAAGGAAGTTTCTCTCTCACATGGTGAACAGTTCATGTGAAGGACTACTGAAAATTAAGCCATTAAAGGTTATTTTGGGGACTTGTCGCCAACAACGGGCTTCTGATTATGATTAATCGATGCTGGTATTCACCGTCTGTATTTTATTTTGAAACAAGCAGAGCCGGCTAAAGGTTATATGGGACCCGAAGCGGAATTGAAATTCGGGCCCCATAGCGTTTTGAGTGGCCAGCTGTCATTCATTTGTTCATTTGTTTTTAGTCAAGACATCGAAATATTCAGATATACATTTTCCACATGAAGGTTTCTCAAAATACAATGTTTTAAAACAGAAAAAAAAAAATCGCAGCTGATTCTGCTTTGTAATTTTTTTTTGGTGGGGTGTATTAAATCATAACAGGCACAATTATTAAATATTAAGGACAGAATACTAGTAAACACCTCTAAAGGAAGAACAATATATGAAAATAACTGATCAATACTGGCTATTTAGTTGCCTTGTGCCTTTTGTGATGTAGGCCTGCTGAATTTTGGTTTTGTTGCATTGTACCTTTAATATTCAAAGTTTAAAAGAAAACAGCTGTAGGTGAATAGAAAAAAGATGGTTTTTATGGGTGTCAAAATAATTCATTTGTGGGTTTTGATATTGCAGAAAAGTTTGGCTGGAAGCTTTAAGTTCGTACCAATATGTATTCTCCTTTGTATAATAACCACATAACATTTTAGTGCCCTTTTTTTGAGAATTGAAAATGAATTCAGATGTTAGATTTGAATAAATTTCAATTTCATCTACTCATAATCCTTAAATTAGGGAAAATATTTGCCATGCCTACTCACTTCATACTCAACCTTTTAGGGTGTGAGGCAGCGTTGCATAATGCGAGATGTTTTGCACCAACCACGCATTAATTGTAATGCTTGGTCTGGACAAAACGTACCCACATGCATAATCTATGATTCAAAACAATTTAATGTAATCCACTTTTGCTCTGAGGAATGTGTTTTTGTGACAGTCGGTGAGAACCATAGCAGCGCCAGGTCCCACACAACTCAAGTTTAATAAGAGACAAATGTCCCCATAGAGGGACCAGAACAATTAAAAAAAACAGTCAGAGAATGGTTACGTAATTCAATTAAAATATATTCGAGATTTAAAAAAATACAAAAAAAGCCATTGATCATTTGGGGCAATGCTGAACTACCACAAAATCATGCAGAGATCACAAAGGTAAGTTGGAACAGAACCATGAGAACAGAAACCTTTCCCTAATCGATTATTTGTATTTTCTGGACAACTGCTTCCTGTTGAATAAATACCGCGAGTCCTCCAACTCTGGACAGTCCAGATGTTTAATATTTAAGAAGCAGGTAGTTAACTCTTTTTGTGGCATCCTGCCTCACTTCGATCCTTCGAATATTTGTTGAAGAACTTTAGTAATTTAAGACGAAGAGTCGTGAATTGACTGAAACGCAGTAAAACCTTCTGCTTACGATCACACGAACAGCTTTCACCTACCTTCAAGGACAACGTGGCGACTCGGAACCTCGTGTTCAGATGGTGGGGGGAGGAAAAAAAGAAGCAAACAGAAACGATAAATGCATAAAGTTTTGAACTTCACCTCCGCAGGTCTGCAGCCGCTGCTGGATGCGCTGGACGGGAGCGGAGGAGAGGGGGCGGACTCTCCGCGCCGGGATGGGGAGGACCTGAGGAAGACGAGCGGCGGTGAGCAGCAGCCATTGTATTATATCACCGCCGTGTCCGTCCGCAGCGTCTACCGGCGGCTTAACGCGGGTCCGAGTGATTAATGTCGACTGCTGGGTCTCCTTTCGAAACGGGCCGAGGAGACGAGTCGCGGGATGGGCGTGTTGGACCGGGCCGGGGCTGCAGTGACAGGCGTCGTCCAGCAGGTGTCACCGGCTGACACGCGGCTCCCGCTCGACTGAGGGGTGTGAGCGTCTTCCAGTCAGGCGGGATGAAAACAGGACGGCCTGAGGTCAAGAGGCAATTAAACGCTGCGCAACACGAAGCCGTTTCACCATCTGCGCCGCGGTTCCGAGGAATGGACCCCCCGCTGAGACCGCGAGGTGGTTCTGACCTTCAGTAGCAGAATAATGGATGAATCTCACGCTTCCGGTGTGGTTTGTACGTGATTCCAGGGTGGAGGGGAGGATCATGCAGCAAATTAACAGTTGGTGTATGGACCTCCAAAAGTGCCACAATTCAAGAAATAAATCATGGCATTAAAGAGCCCCTTCTAAAATCCAAAATAAAAATGGAACTATGCAATGTTAAAAAAATAATGGTTGCGATGCAAAAAAATAAATTTGCACCATCAGCCTTATTTAGGACTGTCCCTATAGTAACTGGCTCTGCAGGTTATCTTAAATGTAAGGAGTTATTTAAACTACAAGGAGAGTTCAGATGGTTTATTTTCTATTTAAATTTAATTATATAATTAAAAAAACAGTAGGTTGTCATTTTGGCACTTTATTTTTTTTTATATGTACATTTTGTGCCACTTCTGTAAGAATCAATGGAATGTGATATCAATTTTAAAAGATCTACAGTTGCTTGTTTTACTCAAACCAGAGAAACGAAGCTCTGTGAAAAAAACAAAACAAAATAGTGAGCATAAATCATATTAGTTGGGGGTTCTGTGTCAACATGGGGGGAAAAGTTGCAAGGGCACTTTTGCATGTGACCTTGGAAAAAAACAACAACAGGGCACTTGCAAACTGGGAGCTGACTAAGCACTTGTTCTATACAGGTACATCTCAGCAAAATTTGAATAAAGTATTTTGTCACCCCTGTCAGAAAGTGACATCGTGTCAAGATTCTTTAATCTCATTGTACGGGTGCAGTGACAAATCCTAATTCGGTTAAAATACTACATGTAATGAAAATATCTTGTAATAAAGTCATAATATATTGAACGTTTTCCACCAAAGAAAAGTAATGGTCAACTAAAATGAGACGATATGAGGCAGCATTAATGCTAAATGGCTCCAAAAATGATTGAATAGTGAACATAGACACATTATAAAAGTTTCTTCACATCTATTTTATTTCACCATATTTGCCAAAGAGGCTCAGAGGCCAACGCCCTGATCTACCAAACATTAAGAACGAGAATCGCACACCGTTTGTGGAAGCTGCTCTTTATTTGAAAAAGAAAGAAAAGAAAGAAAGAAAAAAAGAGACATTGTCTGCTACACGATCTAATTACATAAAGAAAATATCTGCGGAGACAAACGCAGAGAATATCCTGAATCAAACTTAGGTAGAGTCAAATTTGATTGAATTGCTTTCATATTTCATACATCTTTCACTTTGTGCGCTCAAAGAACAGTCGAGTGTTTATGTACAACGTGGCACCGATCAACAGTGCAGCTCCGCTCTACGACCCCGCTCCGCTCTCGCTCTTTTGTACAGCTAATTTACACCAAGCCTGGTTTTTTTTTTTGTTTGTTTTTTTAATTATTATTATTTTCATCACTGTGACGACGATCTAATCAGTCGGCCTGCCTACCCGCTGACCCCCCTCCATCTCTCTCTCTCTCTCTCTGAGAAACTGCAGCGTGGAAAGATGTGTGCAACATGAAGACAACTCGTTCACATTCAGAGTAAAGGCAGCCTTGATTACAGTCAGTGAGTCAACGGCATGCCAAGCTTAAAGCAAATGGAGCCCACCACCCCAGTGTCGCCCCTCAGATTTTGTGGATGACGTGGTGTTTTTTTTTTGTTTTGTTTGTTTTTTTTTTCCTTCCCAGATCTGTTGCTAAACGATTAAAAAAAAAAAACAAACAGAGTAAAACCCTAGGCACGCTATATACTGTTAACTGACTCGTACTCTAAGCCCCGCCCCTCCCTGCACTGTAAGTACAATGGAGATTGTGAAATCTTTCATCTAGTAAAAAAAAAGAAAGAAAAAAAGTCCTTAACACAAAATTCAAGAATATTTAGTGCTCTATCATTCCGCTTAATAGGTGTAATTTATATAATATCTATTTTTTGTCATCTCTACCTCTTAATGATAGTCTGAAATCCTTTGTTTTAATGCTGAAGCACTCCCACGTGTGTTCGTCTTACTGTAGTTTACATTGATCCCCTCCCCTCGCCCCGATTTTAAACCAATAATCATAAATAAATACAAACAACACACAAGGAATGTCTACTGTAAACACGGTAAAAAAGACAAGAACTAAATAGGTGTAAACGTTGTTAGCATCACTACTTAGTGACGGTTAAATAACTGCAAGGGGGAGGGGGGAGTGGATGACTGATGATTGGCTTGAGAAAGGGAAGAACGTCAATCAATTTCACCTTCCGCCCCCATTTCACCCACCGCTGTACATCATCAAAAGCCCTGGACGTCCGACCCATCGCGTGTCCGAGCAACCCAAGCTATCCTTAGAGAGGAGGAGGGGGCAGTGGGGTTAGAAAGCAGCACCACTCGGCGCGTCGGGCCAGTTGTTACAGAACAAAAAAACTAAACAAAACCAAAGAAACAAAACCCAAAACAAAAAAAAACGGGGGTTCGAGTTTCTGCCGGACGTCGTGTTGAGGTGGTTACCATGGTTTCCGACAGTCGGTGCGCCCTCGGGTTCTTGACGTGTCTGTGTTTGGGTGGGTGGGGAGCGGGTGTGGTGGGGTGGGGGGTCAGGGGGAAGATGGGGAGCGGGGGGTGGGGGGGGGTGATGCTTCTCTGAAGAGTTCGACTGCAACGAGGACAAAGTTTTGCAGCTAAGTGCTTCATCTTCTGAGAGACGCTTCCTTCAAATTACATGAACTGCATCTGCAAGACAAGCGGAGGAGGCCGCGTCAGAATCATAACGACGAAACCACATAAAGCAGAAACGATCAGTGTAGCTGACGTTTGCTAAGCTTTTCCCTCATTTTCATTCATTCATTCTTTTGTTTGACCAAACTGAGGTTAAGAAAAATGTTTAGCAGATTCTGAATTTATGGCCTTGATGAAGCGAATATGTTTGACTAATGAGGTTGTGGAGTCACACGGCTGGTTTGAGCGTCTTTTAGTTATAAAGCACAACCACAAGCACACCATGTCACCGTAACAAACATGGAAACAAAGCTTAGCAAACATGCAACTGTGGTTTCCAAGTTCATGTTAAAACAATTTGTCAGTAAAAGCATAAAAAAGAATAAAAAAAATGTTTTGAATCCGTGTTTTATTATTTTTTTTACATAAATTAGCCAAATTTATTTGAGGGAGATACACCGACTGCAGTCTTATTGGCAAATTCTGAAATTAGTTAATTTTTAACTATTAATAATAATAGTTAAAAAAAAGCTTTTAACTTCATCTGAGGCACATTCTGCACATTTTCTTTATATATATATATAAGTTTAAAAAATCCAAATGAACAAATAATTTTGTAAAAATATACATTTTATTGCCTAAAGTGCATTAACAGCATTATTTTACTGCACCATTTCATCATTTGTACCAAAACTTACATCTTTAGCTAAAAAACAAAAAAAACTAACAAAGCTCAAATTATGCTCAACTTAATACAGTGTAGAGCTGATGGTGAACATTTTACGATTAGCTGGCTAATAATTAATAACTAATACGTTTCCTTTTATTCCCCCTTTGTACAGAATTTGAAGCAGGCGAAGCTCAAGCTGCCAGTTTTGGGTAAAACATTTACAGACAAGTTTTTTTCCTCATCTTTAAAGCAAACTGTCTATATTTTTTGTAAAGTTTTTTTTTTTTTTTTAACTTCTCCTCCTAGTATATTGTTCTTTCAGCAAATGGCCTTTTTTTTTTTTTTAAAGTTCACTCAACGATTAATGAATTACTAAATTATTTGCTCGTCTCAATCGATTTGTCACGATTAATCGTTTCGGCCCTCAGATTCACAGCTTAGCAAATGGCCAACAAGTTAAATTTAGCGACAGCTGCAAGGCAGAAACAAAAACAAAACAGGTCTGAGCAATGGAGAATGGAGGAACGAAAACCAAAATGAGTTGGTCGCTATCTGATAACACAACCATGACATCCAAGCGAAATAAAAACAGAAAAGAAGAAAAAAAAATGAACAGAAAGTGCGTGATCCACTGGCAAAGGACATCAAGGGGCTTAAAAGTTAGCGACAAAAGCAAACATGCATCAGCGCCGGGCAGACAACGCATGCAGGTGCCTGAGCAAGCAAACAGCATGATGTACCTAAAGAGATGCTCTACAAGAAATCCTTGAGAGAGAGGTGTGCAAACGGGTCCTGTCCAGGGGCTCGGAGAGGACTCTGGCTGGAAGGACTAGAGGCTGCAGAGGGCTAACAGAGGAAGTAGGAGGACCAGAGGACAAGTCAGAGTCAGTACAGAGACTGAAGTAGGGATGAGATTAGTTGGAGAGGCTGTGATGTATGATTGATGGGTTAATAATAATAAATAAATAAATTTGAAAAAAAGGGAGCCGTTTGGAAACAGGAAGTTGAAACAAGAGATGATGATTTACAGTTTTTTTTTTTTTTTTGTTAAAACTGTCATCATCTTCAGCAGTATTCACACCCACAACGAAGCTTTCACAGTCACTAACCGCGGGACACAAACGGTGCACAATGGACACGACCCGTTACCCCCTCACCCCGGCCGCCGCGTGGACCCACCTGAGCGCTGGACACCGAGCCAAAGGGGTTGGGTGGTCTCATGACGGGCTGGGTGTACATCATGGTGGGCGGATTCATCATCCCCATGGAGCCCATTTGTGGAGGCTGGGGAGGCATCAGGCGTTTCATTTGGTTTGCAAAAAAAATTACAAACAATTCTGAAAAGAAATGTTTTGTGATCCCTACTCTACTCCCCCCCCCTCCAATTGAGGGATGTTTCCTGTTTACTAGGAATAAAAATAAAATACCAACAGGCAAAATTATTGCTTTGGTGCGTCACAATAAATTAACACATTATCAAAAAGTGAATTTTATGTTTGGAAATGTCTCTGTCTGTACACCAGACTGGTCAGAGAATAACACACCAAAAATCTCCCAGTTTCAGTTTGTTTGATGTTCAAAATGCAAGTAAAAAGATGAGCAAGTCCTGCAGCTGTTAGGAATAATAAATATTCATAACACTGAAACAATCCAAACAAACCGTGTTAAGATACAAAAAACTGTTCTCATCGACTTCTCTGGTATTTAGCCAAATATAAATAATTGTAGTAATTATGAATGACTCAAAACAAGAAAAGTTAAGTCTGATTTAACTTCAGACAGTGAGAAAAAAAAAATCTGTCTTTTTATGAGGCGTATGAAAATATCTGACCGGACCCGTAAATAAAGCTGACCAAATTTAGGCTTTTTAAATCTGCCAAAGCGCTGCTTAACCACAATAAAACAAATTGTTGCATGAAAAGTAAAACTTTTCTCCGCTGAGCGGAGGGAGGACTCACCATGCTGTATCCCATCATGCTTGTGGGAGTGGTGGCGGGGAAGGCCATGACTGACGGCGGCTGATGGGAGAGAAACGGTTTGAGAAAACTTGATATCCAAACCTCCGGAGAGTTGCAGGACAAACGTTTTTACATCGTTTATTTACATACTTGAGTCTGTATGTGAAAATGTGAACTTCTACGGATCAGAGAAAACCTACAATCAAACCTCTATCCGCTAAAGATGGAGCTGAATGGCTTAAATCAAAGAACATTTGTTAACGATTAATCGGTGTAATCCTGATTAATTGATTTAGTAATCGATTCATCATTAACTTGGCTATGCAGACTCAAACAAAAGACCATCTGTTAAAAAATAAACATATTTGTAGTTATTACGTCAAACTTTACAAGATTTAAATAAATTTGGCATTGAAGATGAAAAACACTTGTCTGTAAACGTGTTTGATACAAAACTGGAGCGGTAAAGTTTTAGCTTCACAGTGCTATGTTATTGCATTTTAGAAAATAAATATTTTACTTTCTTATATTAAAAGGTATTGAATTATGTGTTTTTTTTGCAAAGAACGAGCAAAATCTCAGTTTCCTGCAAAATTTGGTGGTTCCACACGGTATTGAGGCACAAGGCCCAGGAACAAATGCAAGCCACACTTTTCAGATTTTAAAACTTTTTCGTCAGTTTCTTGGGTGTGAATATTTTTGCATTGCTGGTCGTCTCTGAAACAGTTTGGAAGTAAAAATCTCAGCTTTTAAAATCCTGGAGGATTTTCCTTTTAACTCTGAATAAGACTTGAAATTTTCAAAAATTCAGATTTGAAGGAAAATTGACAACCGACATAAACATAACCAAACGTGCACGTGTGTGTCACCATGGAGACAGGGTTCCAGGTGGTGCTGGGCGCAGCCTTGGGTTGCCAGTTGGTGCCGCCGGTCATCCTCTTCTCCCCCGGCTGGCTCCAGTGGATGTCACTGCGGATCAACAGAGCTGGCGTCAGCAGCAGCACGGAGCTGAAAACGCACACGCCGCCCCCATCCAGCAATCAGCCAATCAACCGTCACTTACTTCTTCATCGTTCCGTTTCCGATGCCCAGATCTGGAAAGCAACATTTGTCAAGCAGCGGTTAGTGGGACAATTTCGGTCTTCTTTTTTTTTTTTTTTTTGTGCGTCTTAATGAAGATGCATGTTCATTAGTGCGGATGAATATAAAGCGCTGCACTCACTGCCGACAAGGTTGGCCAGGGAAGAGTCAAGGTCGTCTGACACCAGCTTCTCGGGAAGCTGATTGGACGGCTGGTTGGAGCCGGCGAGCATCGGCTTCAGGATGCCTCCGGTGAGATCTGACAGGGAAAATAAACAATATAGTATTGCGTCATTTTCTTTTAAAAACTATTTTTTTTTAAACATACACTATTGTGCTACATTAAGCAAGATTCAGTCCCATGAAATGAAATTGTCACCGTCAGAGTTGAGGCTCCCGCTGCCGGCGGCTTTGGTTCCAAAAACCGACTCAAAGTCCACCTGTAGGCCCCCTGCTGGCGGTTGTGCAGGGGCTTGAGGCGTTGAGTATCCTTCGGAAAAGAGACCAGAAAGCTGACTGACAAAGTTACAGCATTTCCGAACAGCATTCCCAAACGGCACAGCAACAGGATTCCATAAACAGAGCAGAAAATGAGAGGAGAGCAAGCCTGGCGTACTCTACCTCTGAATAGACCTGCTACAGTAGAGGGCTCAGTGGGGAAGGGAGCCTGGTGTGGGAGGTGTTGAGCAACGGACACCGGACCACAGAAGGAGTCTGACAGGCCGCGTGAAGCAGCCAGAAAAACGGCAAAAAAAACGGCAAGAAAAAGAAAAGAGGAAGAAAAGCATTCCAAGGACAGGTCAGAAACAGGCAAGGAATGACAGCAGCAATATAGAAAGCAAGAAAAAAGTGCTTGTATATATATTTACACATTCTTTATTCATACAAGTTTTTCATGTAATCTTTCAGTAGATCTGTTAAATAGGTAGAAAAGTAAAACATTGCAGCATAAAAATTTAGCAACCCACAAGGAGTTAAAGGAAAAGTTGGAACATTTTGGGAATTAATCTTTTGAAACGTTGGATAAGAATTTAATATTTGGCAGCAATATTACAGATCATCCCAGACCAGCTCGTCAGACCCACTACATTTAAAAAAAAAATTAAATCATACTGAAACCCTATTTTAATTAGGGCTGAAATGATTAATTGTGATTAATCGATTGTTGAAATAGCCGTGAAATAATTTAACAAACGATTAATCGTCAGAGTATAGAGATTAAAGGTCATTTGCTGAAAGAAGAACACATTAAGAGCACTAACCAAGTCAAAACTATAAAATATGTACGTTTTACATTTAAGATTAAAAAAATAATATTCACCTTGTCTAAATTCTGTTTTTTAAAAAAGGTTCTATTCAGAACCTTTTGCTGTCTAATAATCGACCAAATAAAAAATTAAACAGATCAGACCTGCACTGTTTTGATGTTAATTAAATCAGAGATGGCTTACATCAAAGCATATTGGTTACAGCTGAAACAATTAATCGGATTAATCCTGATGAATCAGTTATTGAAACAATCGTCAATAAAGTTACAAGCATGTTTTTGTTGCAGATGCATCTTTTGCTACAAATGCTTAATTGTGCAATAATGAAATGTTACATTTTGCTGATTTTCAGGCAATAACATTTTTAGTTTCTTATTTAAAAAAGGAACTGCATCATCGGCTTATCTGCATACTTGTATCCATTTCTGAAAAAAAGCTTAAATGGTTAAATGAAAACTAAAAAAAAAGAATGTCATTTTTAATGAATCATTGGAATAACGACAGAAAAATTGATTACTAAAATAACTGATAGTTACAGCCCTAATCTTAATGCTTCACAATGATTATGATAAACTTTTTTTAATTAAGATTTCACACGGCTCTTAATATTGTGAACTTGATATCACTTATCAAGTTTACATGTGTTCAGTCAAATTTAAGGCTTTATTCTAGAAACTGCTATAATAGTTTGTAAAATGTACAGATATGTTTATTTTGGACATCGTTCATGTTTAGCTAAAGCATCTTCCTATTGAAAAGGCTCCATGGAAAGATGATCCTGTGACATCTGGCTCGATGCAATTACAAGTTTTTCCCCCAACTCACAAAGACATTGGCAAATAAAAAGCTGATGATCTGGTCCGGCGATGTGACCCTTTCACGTGGGTAAGTATTAACAAAAGAACTAAAAAAAATATTAATAAAATAAAAAATCCCAAAATGTAAAACTCTTCCTTTAATTCTAATAAATCTGCTAGAGGTATTCAAATAATGGCTCTGGGGGAGTTGTGGACAGGAGTCTATGTTTGCCAGCAAACATAGGTCAAGGCTTTGAGCCGTCGTAGTACCTGAGATGGAGTGCTCTATCCGCACTGTGCGTTTGTAATTGGTTGAAACTGATGAGTTTGTGTCAGTAAAGGGATTGTAACGATCTGGAGAATCAAAAATAGTGTAAGAACAGGTTTCAACTTAAAAGCTCTACAGCATCTGAGCACTACAAAGCAACACCAAACCGTTCATGAGCAGTCGCTGAAAGCTAACTGGGAATCAACAGTAGGACATGGAGCTAATCTGGATCGGAAACACAGAAGATATGATGGCAGATTTTACAGCCAGCTGCACTTTGACACAACCGTTCCAAAAAGTTAAGTGTCCATCGCTCTGCTGTGTATTTAAAAGATGGTGCGATTCATATTTGAAAATGCTGTTAAGCAGTAGGACTAGAATCTAATTGAATACAAACATTAAGTTAGTATTTTGCACTTAACGAAAATCATTCAATTTCGGCTTCATTCCGTGCTAATTGTGTAAAGTTTCTCGACCAACGCCTGAGGTTTGTCCTTTCAAAGCCTGAATCCACTAGCACTGTAAGGCTTTATTTAGAAAAATCAATGCAAGTAAAGATGGCAGAAAGAGAAACAGGAGAACCAATGCTGTCCAGCTATCCGACAATTTCCATTTACCCATGATGAACGATTTAAAAGAAAAAGAAAGCAACTTACAAGGTACCCAGCAAATCTACATTAGCAGCTAGTTAGTTCTTTTTTTTTCTGGTTGAAAATGTGTTAATTTGAGAGATCATAAGGTCTTAATTTTAAATATACAAATTTAAAATTTCTTACAAATGCGCTCACACCCTGTGACTTACAAGACATCTTTATGTACGAGTTGCACTTGAATGCACCGTAGAACCTGCTTGTGTAAACCCTCAAAAAGCAAAACGTTCTGCCACGACGCCAGCGGAGCGTAGCTGCACGTCTTCTACAAAGACTCCGAGGACATTTGGGGCTGGTTAAATGTGACAGCTGGATTTGGACTTTCGCCTGTTTGCCTCAGCAGCATTGACGCTTACGTTCAGCTGGATGCCGTTTCGGGTTAGTAATTAGGTTTAGTGTGGAGTAAAACGCTGATGTAAAGCATTGGTGTGATCCAACTTTTTTCCCCTCTATGCTTAGGTTGCTAAATGAGAAACTGTAAAGTAGAGAACAGAGTCCGGCACATTAACCCTCAGCGGGAATGCATGTTTAAAACATCTTATGCGTGCTGAACTGAAAGAACTACACAGAAAATTTTATTTTACATTCATGTAGCATTGCCCTTCTAACACTGATTAATTGTAAATACTCAAAAGATTTACCTTTGAAACTTTTTTTTTTCCAGAATTGATTATTAAATGTTAGCTAACTACTGACAACACTAGGTTTTCTTTTGTAATCACATAACTTGCTCAACAAAAACAATCTGAGTTTGGTAAGTGTAAGGAGAGAAAAAGATCTGCACAGACAAAATATTCAGACTACAGAGGCACATCAAACATGCAGGATAATCATGCGCTTAAGTATTTTACAGATATATGAACGAGAGAGGCGAGAGACTTTGGAAGAGAAACAAAATGAGTTGTTACCACCAAACATTTCATGACCGGATGTCCTAGAGGAAAAGCTAACACCGTCTGAAGACACGACAGGTAAGTGAGTGGCATCGACAACGAGTTTTGACAGGAAAGGGTTAAGGTTTGGCATGGAATCGTCTCCAGCTTCAGTAGAGGTGAAAGGATCTATGCAGGCAGAGGGAGAAAAAAAACAGAGAGAGACAGGAAAGAAGAAGAAAAAAAAATGACAGAGTGGAGAGGAAGAGGTGGAGATCAGAGTCAGACAACAGCAACAAGAGAAGGATAGCATGCAGAGGCAAAGTCCAGAGCCACAGTGTTGGTTGGAGGATGACAAGAAGAAAGGGGGGAAAAAGAAAAAGGTTTACCTGCCCACGCCGTGGCCACCGGGAGGCCTGTGGAGGCCGACTGCATGGAGGGTTGGAAGCTTGGCTGCAGGTCAAAAAGGTCGCTCTCCATCTTGACCGCACTGCGTCCAGAAAAACAACGACAAAAAACAAACATCACGCCAAAAGGTTTTATCAACCCACCACTGAAGCATAACTGTCTGGGGATAAGTAAGAAAACAAAAGCTCCTTTAACCAGCTCTACGTTCAATGATGTGCATCGTCACAGAATTAAAACCAGCCTCAGTAAAACCCGATTGATAGGACTTCGACTGAACAGACATTTCTTTATATTTTTGCAGTTTTGAGGATATTCAGAGACTGCAGGACAATGCATTCGCCACAAACAGCTTTCATAGTGCTCACTTCTGTAGGTTCCAAAATATTTAAGCAAAATGCTTACATTCCAGTTTTTGGTAAGCGTTTGACTACCTCAGTTTACCGTAAAATGTATTTTTTTGATTTCTGAATCTGCGTGTATTGAGATGGTAATTCGAAAACAACAACATCATGTATCGCAATAATTTTATCATCCAGAAAAATTTATTGCGACAGGCCTACGTCACATCTGTTAAACTTGACACAAAAAAGCAAAAACAATATATTTTAATCTAAATAAGCCGATCAATAACTAGTGGCTATGTGAAAGCAGTACCCGTTTGAGCAGCTGGGTGTGGAGAAGAGGTCAATGGTTGGTGCTGTGCTGATGGTGCCCCCAGTGGTGGAGATCGGCGATGTATCGGTGGTGGAAAAAGATGGCCTCTTTGAGAGCTCTTTGAGCCTCTGCTCCTGGGAAAAACATAGCAATAATAATAGCGCATCGTAATAAAGCAGTGAGAGGCATTTGTGGAGCGGATCTCGACCTCCACACAAACCTTGAGAGCTTTGAGCCGGGCCTGTTCCTCCTCTAGAGCTGCCTGCTTCTCCCGCTCATCCACCTTAGTGAAAGACATCCCTGTGCTAGCCAATGATGACACTGCATTTGATAGAGTGCTGGCCCTGAAGCAAGAAAGAAAAAAGAAAAAAAAAAAACAGGTAAACAGAGCCAATGAGCAATCACTACCGATCAAACGCAGAAAGAACGGCGTTGAGTTAAAGTACCTGCTGGCTGCAGTAGAGTCTTTGACTTTCTTCCCTTCTAAAGAGGCCAAATGCTGCTCCAGAGCTTCCAGGAGGCTGCTGGGAGCCTGGTGTGATGAGGAGGGGAAAAAAAATAAATAAATAATGAAAAAGCACAGTCAGCAACCGCTTGACACGTCAAAAATCTTACGTGAATGGACATTAACACCATTACGGCCAGTGGTGGGCAACGACGATGGAGCATGATAGCACGAAACCTCATGATATGCCATCGGAAACAAATGAGTCGTCAACCAATTTCAGAGAATTACACCTGCTCCGGGGTGGAAGTCACCAACCACTGATCGATGACCGCATTCCAGCCAAAAAGCTACTCTGGGATGAGAGAGTAACATCTGTGTGGGATGACGGACTGCACCACAGCTCCTTCAACAACCCGGTTGTTGAATCGGCCAGGTCTAAAACACGACAGGGCAGCCATTTTTTAAAAATTATTATTATTTTTTAAACAGGAGAACGAGCTACGCAGCCTCAACGACACGACCCGAGTAAAGCAGAATTTACCACAGCGAGGGTTTTTTCCTTCAACTGCGTTTCACCACGATGTGGGAGACACGAGTCAGAGCAGAAGCATGCAAAAAGACAACACCGAGGCAAGTCACGAACAGAGAAGAAGAAGAGTGAAAGAACAGTACTTACACAAACCGTGAACTAAAGTGGAAAGATAAAGGAGGGAGGAGAATACAGAATATAAAGGTGGTGACAGTCAGAGGGGAAAAGCATTTCAACTCAACTTCTTTGGGGTGGTATATTAATGCAGCAGCATGTGCAGTTTTATTAATTCATTTATGTTTTTACTTTAATTTGGAGATAAAGCTGTCAAAATGCACTCGATCTAGAGGGTGGACTTTAAAAAAAAAAACACCTTTATTTACTGAAGCAGACGCAGGTTGGAAGAGCAGAGGAAGGATTGGAAGCAAAAGGAGGGAAAGCGTTCCCTTCAGGAAAAACATGCGGCCAAAAAAAATTCATTCATGCAAAATTATTAGAGATGCACTAAGAAACTGACCAGTGAACGGAAGAGAATAATTTCCATCTTGACTACAAAACATTGACTTTACTATATTCTAACCAGAACCAAATCCAATTGGGACTGCAAGTGACCTGTCGTCTTGGAAAACGAGAAGATTCATGGGATTGCCCGTTTTTATTATTTTAAATCATAAAGTTTCTGAGATTTCTGTTTTACAATCAGAGGTCGTGTTAACCAAATATTTTCTGTATTTGACCGATTGTTTTTTTTAAATAACGGGAAAATTTGAAGCCCATCCGTCATTTTGACAGGTTATTATGGTGCACATGGGCTAACATGATAAACTTTAGTTCATCGTAGAGGCAACTAAAATCAATCAATAAAAAAAATTTATTCTTTCTGCATATCATCTCATTGACACTGAGCTAAATGCGGAGCTGACATCTTGTTGAGTTATTATTGAAATGGTGCGTTTAATTCCAGTCTCCATTACATACAGAATAGAGAAAACTAAAGAGTTTTCAATGTTGTTAGTCCGTTTATAATCTAAACACAAGAGCCGGTGATTTGTCTCGAGAAAATAAGTGCAGAAGTTGATTAGACCGTAACATGCGCAGTGCGCTACACAACCAATGCCGGCTCCACCGCTGCAAAGAATTATACTCAATTCATCCTTAACTCATTCGATAAAAGGAACCTTCTTTGTTCACGTTACCCTCTCGCGCCCGGAAGGAGAGCAGTACTTTGAAGGAGCGCGGCAGATGTAACTTCTCTCTATTTCGGGGAAAGAAAACCACGCAAAAAAAAAAAAAAAAAAAAAAAAAAAAAAAATCACCATAAAAGTGCACATGTGGACCACGCATAGGGTAAAAAACTCGCAGAGTTCAATTGATTGGTGTGGATCAGACGGATCCAACTGTCTACAGATGCGACCAGGAGGAATTTGTGAGGCTGTGTGTTCAGACCGCAGCGGGTGAAGTGACCGTAATTTAAGTGGCGTCTTTAATTTAATTTATTGTAAGTTATTGGGGCCACAGTCAGTGATTTTTGTCACTATGGAGAAGTTAGATGCATTTATCTGCTTTATGGGTGATGGGATCTGGATTCACGGTCCTAATAGATGGATATTAACCAAACCGCACAAAAATTCTGAATAGTTTATGTTAATATGATTATAATTTGACGGGCAAAGACAGTACATGACCGATTTTTTAAAAAAGTTATCGGTCAAGATGACAGAAAACAAACAAAAAAAAAAGTCTAGCACGACCTCTGCTTACAATACCACTACATAGTGTTTGCTATGACACCAATGAGATCAATTGCTTTGCTAGACAAAAGTTACTTTCAGGAAGATATTAAGATCTCAGTTGTCAATATGGCAAGTCATACTTCAGTGGATTTGACCCTCAAAGGCAACCATAGTAACTCATGTGACCAATGGAAAATTTACCCAGTCCTGCTCTATGCAAAACATATGAAAATCACTGTTTTTGCCATGGTATTCATGCTGATCGCTAATGTAAGATGCTAAAGTCCACTGAGAACGTCAACTCTAACCATTTGGTATTTGATTTATAATGTTCATAAGAGCTTGTTTTACAATTTACTTTGCGCAATCATGAAAACTAGAAGAAAAACAGAAATACTTTGAATCTTTGGTGATCTTTGGTTTATAGTTCATGCAGCCAAACTCGGCACTGGCACATCCACGTTTTACAAAAACGGCAACTCACAATTCTGATCGGTGCATCTCTAAAGTCATGTGTCTCGTTTAATTAACATCTCAGTATAATTTATATTTGTGCTCTAGCCAGACCAAAATAAAACACACAAAAAAAAAAAAAACCCAGGGACGATCTTAGCTGGAAATAAAAAAAGCAAAGCAAGGCATGGCTTTTTATAACAATAAATAAAATAAAAAAATAATGTTGCTCACCTGTGAGAGGTCTGGGATATCTCCTCGATCAATTCCCACCTGCTGTTTAAAAATGGATAAATGAAAAAATAAGTAAACCAGTTGAACTCATTCATGGCAACAGCTTTCGGAGTGAAAATGAAGCGGCATCTACCTCGGCTACTTTGAGGAACTCCGATATCCGGGTCATGCGAGTGAGGAACTTTTTGTAAATGTCCAGGCCTTCTTTACACTGAGTCTTCTTCATGTCAAAGTACTTCTCTGTTTGGGACGGAGAGGACGCGTTTTGTAACACTAGTGCAAACATTCACAAACTGACAGACGGGGGTGGGGAGAGCAAAGCTTAAGGTCTGACCGAGCAGGTTGATGATGCCTTCGTTGTAAGCAGCAAAGAGCCTGATGGAGTCTTTGAAGAGGAGCATGAAGGCTGCATTGATGACTCCATTAGTCAGCTCGTTGGCATTGACCTAAGAAAAGGCAGTCAGCCACGACTATTTCTATTAAAAGACACTGCGCTGCCATTTGCTGAAGCACAAACTGTGTGAAATGTGAGCTTAGAAAACAACGTAACCTGTAAACTTCAGCCGAGCGAGGCTTCAGCGGAAACTCACGTTAAAGTCGAGGAGGGCGTCCATCTGGTTCTGAATAATGGGTATGGTCTTGAGCAGCTTCTCTGTGTTCATGGTCCTCATTACGCCGTCGACTCTGTTTGGACGTGTCGAGTCATGATTACTTACTGATGTCAGACAAATTCAAAGGAAATAATGTGTCTTTTAAGTCAAACCAGCATATTTGAACATGCCGTTTCTCCAATGAAAACACCAAAACCTCAAATAGCTTTTAGTTATTATAATTAGGAAATGGGCAAACAGAGAGACGCAGCATAGGCACAACAATCTAGAGACATGGGTTTGTGACATTTTATTTAGAAATTTATAGTTTATTAAACTAGATGCATAATTTTTCCTGTATGAACCTGCTGTGGTTCTGGTTTGTTTTTTTGATGAGAAAGTGATTTTGGCATAAATAAATAAATCACCACCTCTGTCTTTAAAAGAAAAAAATATATATTTTAGGCATAAAAATAAATAAAATAAAGGAAGATAACAATATTAATTTAAGCTAATACAGATGATTCTACTTTTTTGTGAATTTCACGGTCAGGACAAGTTTCTAAATCTATATACAAATGTGTAACACTTAAAAAATTATGCATTTTTAAAAGGGGTACATCATCTTTGAAGTGAATGGATCCTGAGGATTCTTGTCACTGGTTACTCTTGAAATAATTAATCAGTGACTATTTTTTCAGAACACAGTCGATGTCTGAAATATGTTAGAAATAAAGATGTTCAAATCACATATGAGTTGTTTTTGTAAATTGTTAAAGATGTATGAAAATGATTAGATTGAATTGGCATATATGACATCATAGTCATCACAATTTAAACAAAATTGTATCGCGAGACTGAGAGAAACATCGCATCATCCAAATAAATCGATATAATATCATATTGTGAAAAAGGTGCTGATTAACATCCCTTGTATATATAATACTTGTGTTCATCAAAAAATGATTTAAAAAAATAACTATCATAATTGTTAAAACCAGATCTACAAACATTAATCAGTAAACAGTAAATTTTACATATTTTAAACGTTTAACAAATGCTGGTAATATGGTTTGCTGATCTTCATTAATTTTCTGTTTCAGCCTCTCTCTGGACAGAGAGAGGCTGTGACAGGCACAGGGCAAAATTTGCATATGCGTGCGGTGTGGGCCTTTCCTGGTTCACTTTTTGTAAGCAAGCACTGATAACAAGCTGAGGTACTTTCCCTTGATAAAAGAAGACCAGAATTAACCAGGGCTGCACAGTTGGTAGGACTGTTGCCTTGCAGCAAGAAGGTCCTGGATTTGATTCCTGGCCCGGGGTCTTTCTGCACGGAGTTTTCATGGTCTCCCTGTGCTTGTGTGGGTTCTCTCCGGGTACTCAGGCTTCCTCCCACAGTCCAAAAACATGACTGTCAGGTTAATTGATCTCTCCAAATTCTCCATAGGGGTGAATCTGGAATCATGCACACACAAAACCATGTGTGTGCATGGTTGTTTGTTCTGTCTGTCTTAGTGTCCTGCAACAGACTGGCGACCTGTCCAGGGTTAGCATACCCCGCCTCTCGACTGAAATGTTCACTGGACATAGACACCAGCACGCCTCCTGACCCCACTAGGGACAAGGGCATACAGAAAATGGATGGATGGAATTAACCAATATCTGATTGACACTTAAAATGTATAAAAATTAAGACTTGTATTCTGATCTTCAAGTTACTAAGTTGTCACCGCTGACAAATTACCTGGAGGTGGATTGTCAGTAAAAAAAAAAAAAAAAAAAAGATTTAATTTTAAGAAATAGAAACAAAAGTTGGTTTAGTAATTGGCCAGTTTATCTCTGCAACTATGAAGAACAAGACTAAATTAGGACAATACTGCAGTAAACAGAGAAGAGAATCCCAGCTTGTTCAGTCTTACCCTCGTTTAACTTTTGTGAAGTCGAAGGCAACCTGTCTGTAGGAGACGGCTTTCTCGTTCAGGTACCGACTATACCTTCTGATGAACGTAGACATGTCGTAGCCTGCAACGTCACGCCGCATGGAAAAAATATGAGAAAAATTAGCTTTTGTTCTTATTTTTTAAAGAAAAATATATTCAATGCCTTTCGTTCAAAGCATTACCTTGTAGGCCGCTTTTGTCCAAAAAATTGCTGAGGTTGAAAAGTGTATTCCTTGATGCCAGGTATTGGATAAATCGCTGAGAGAGGAGAAGAATGGTTAAAGTGGAAGCTCCGGGGAACAGTGTGACGCCGATGAGGCGAGCGAATATCTCACCTCGTTGCCATACACCATGAGGTGGTGTGTGGTGATGAGCGACTTGAAAACCACCACCCAGCTGGTGTTGGTGGTCCTCTCGAATAAAGAGTCGGCCAGTTGGGGAATGTTCACGTTCATCTCGTTGGTGCAGTGGATCAAATCTGGAAACAATTCAAAATTGCAATTACTGCTAAACACACGCAAACACCGACGGCTTCATCCTCATATACTCGTGTGTTTCTGTTTCTACAGTCAACAACTTGGCAGATTTGTTTAAAAACTAGTTTTTTTTCTACTGTGTTCAATGGGACCCAAAAACACCTGGTTGATCACATTATGGATTTTTTTTCATGTCACAAAAACTGCATAAAACAACTTGGTTCTTGTCATATAAAAAATCTTCAACTTAGCATATTTAATAGGAGGAGGATAATAATAATAGCATAATCTGCTGCCTCAAATGACATGTTTTCTAACCCATTGAAACAAATATTGTGATGGCAATTTCAGAGATATTTGCCAGTTATCCAGGTTCTTTTTGCCATTATTTTGATGCCACAGAAAATCTTTGAGGGTTTGAAATGTTTAGGAAAATTCTTAAAGAAACTTCAACTAAGTTTTCTAGTCATAATTTGAGGATTTAGCCAGATGAAACATTCATTAAAATAATCATGGAGACAATATTCATTTTTTAAAATATTGTGCAGTCTTCAGTGTAAAAGAAAATATGTGACTTCTAGATATGTATTCAAAGACGACTCAACCAATTGTTTTACTTGACAATGACCGAAATAACTACTCCTTAGCTCAACTTTTTTTAAAAACCGGTATGATCACATTTATTAAATCCATCAGTTTAATTAGGAAGCTGGTTTAACCCCGATAGATTATGTCAAAGCACCTCTATTTTTTTTTTATAAAAATAAGAAATATTTTGAAATTAATAAAATAATGTGGAAAACTGATTAATGGTCCAAGTTAACTTTACACATGATTCATATGAACATATTTTTTGTTAATCATTTCTATGACCAGTACAGATTAATTATCAGTCAACTTGTTTACAGGCCAGTACTTCCTGTTTTCCATGAAATGAAATCAAACATGTTGGAATTGAACATTTCCTTAGATATTTGGTCCACAACACATTAAATGTCAGTCTGCAAACCCTTATTTAATGCTTAGAGGTTTCTATTTGTATTGTGGATAATGAGACCTTTAGATGATGGCATCAGCTACTCTGTTCTCGTTTTAAGTGGGTAGCGTCTACTTTTGACTTGTTGAAAATGTTGAGTGTAGATAGAGGCTCCACCCTTCCTATAAAACAAGAAAAGGGTGGCTCCCAGGGCTGAGGCCAGGAATTTTATCTAATCAAGCCTCCAATGACTGTTTTACACCCATTTCAGGAAGTTTCCATTTAAACCCAACAAAAAAGCTGCTTACTTCTGACTCAGATGGAGACAAAGTTGGTGTCAAAATATTAAGTCTTCTTCAAGACTGTCAAATAATAGCGCAAAACTGATTTGTGAGTTCAAGCCATCTTTTGTATCTCCAAGGTTCGATGACGTTCAGCTGTTTATTGGAACATAAGAAAAAAAATAGCTGATCAGAGAAACAGAAATTTCACTACCGTTGACTTGATTACAGTGATGGAAAATTGACCTGAAAACTGAGATTTAACAAGAATTATATGTTGTAATTTGTTTGATTGGCTCTAGTAAAAATATTTGAACAAAAAACAAAAGAAAGAAAAAGAAAAGAAATGGGGAAAAACGGTTAAATGAGCACATTTTCTACAGTAAAATGAAACGGAAAATTATGTGTGAACGCAGTCACGCAACCCTGCATCTGAAGCCGTTAATGCCCAGTCTGATTGTTAATGGTGAAGACGCACTGCTTGGCCGGGGCACCAGTGAGTGCACTGCATTAGGACATTAACCACTCATGTTCTGCCCCACTTCCTTTGCTCGTACTTTGCTTTAATGATCATAGTTTGAACAGCCGGGCCCCAGCTGCGCAGATGACCCTGCCATTCACGGCAGCGATCAGACCGACCGAGTATATGGGCCTCCTTTTCTGTCCTATATTTGACTTTTTCAAAGGAGGGGGGGTACTACAAGTAGGACAGAATAACCTTCCAGAGAAGCAGTGGGAAGCAGTGGTAGCCACGGTTAGCATGGCTGGCTGAACTGCCCAGAAGAAGAGGTTGACGAAGACAAGAAGAGCCGGGAGGAGGAAAGGGGGGAAGAATTGCAAAAATGAATCAATCCACAAGACTCAAATGAATTCATGAAACAGCCATATGACACCACAAGGTCACATGTTTTGTACAGGTCAGATCCATTCTGTTAAAAACTCCACTCATAATGCAGAAGATTGTATTGTTGTGTAAAGTTGCTGACCCAACCGTAGTGGATCTGTAAAACGCACATGACTGTGTGATTAAGGTGTCAGAATAACACTCAACTAGAGTGAATTATATAACGTCTTCATAACGTTAACCTTTGGCCTGGCAGAGGTAATCATGCACAAGTCAGGTTATGGTGGCTTTGTCAGGAAATGGCAGCTGACATCATGTTCCTTTGCATCTGATTCGCAGCCCGTTTGATTAATGATTTCCTCAGCCAGCTCCTCGGTTTAAATCAAACTTTGGCCACTGCACAGCCTCTACCTGCTTCCACGGACTTTAAGAGTTTGCATGTTTAAGTTGGAAGCGGTTTTAAAACCTTTGGGACCATTTTGGCGAGATCAGAAATCTAGTGTTACCGGTTTATCCATTTGGTGACCGTTTTAATCTATGTGGGTTAACTTGCGCATTCAGTCTCTGCATATCTAGATTGTTAAGATACAACTTGCCTGCATACGTCAGCCTCTAGAGAAATATCCTTTTATCGAAAACACAAACACTGATTTCATTTGCCAGACATAATGGAATAACATGTTACTCAGCTCTTTGGAAACCATTTATTTATCAATGGATTGTGACTTAACCAAACTTTTTAGTGACTTTTTTTTACCGACATCTTGAGTAGGAAATACAGCTCTTTAATTGGAGAGCTTTTTGTTCTTGTAAATCATTGATATGACACCAGTTCTAGAATAGATTGGACTAAACGCTATAGTATGCAATAGGGCTTGTGGTATAATTGTTTCTACTCAAATATTAAGTAGATTTTTTTCCCTTACTTTCTTTTCTAAAAAAATAAAGAAATAAACTACACATAACAGAAAACATTTTATATTATATTAATTATACTTTCAGCAATTTTACCAGAAGAATGTCTCAAAATTACAAGAAAATAGGTTATTTTAATAAGAAAAAGGCCTGGATATACATATTTTTTTTATTTTTACCTTTTGCAGTCTCATAAAGTTACTACTTCATCCTCTAATATTACACCGTTATTCTTGTAATATTAAGACTTCATTCTCATCATTTTGACATTGTCATGAGAATTTATTCTCATAATAATAATAAACAATCTGAGCCTGGCCCCTATTTTTTGTCACGGAGTTGAACTGAATTCGAAGTCCGAATAAACAGAAGCTATAAAACAAGCCTGTCAAAAAAGATACCTGTATCTAAAACGGATAGAAAACCATTATCCATATCATGTTGAAGAACTGCAACATGATATGTAATGTAGGTTCACTTGTCCTTGGTTGACACAATTGTCTTTGCTTTGTTTTAGCTCTGCCTCACAATAACCATGGAGGCGGATATTACACTGATTTATCACACTTCTATAAGTTTATCCCCTTTTGCAGCAACTCTGGATGACATTTAATAAAATACATATTCATGACTTTAGGTCTACGTAGTTCCTAATTGTTATTGTTATAACCTCAGACCATAAATTCACCATAATCTCAAAAGGTAAACAACAAAAACCACAAAGGTAAAGCAGGATGATGCTAAATGAAAAGATGACTGCTATGCAAATATCACTCGAAAATTACAGAGTGGAAATTTATCAAAATTCATCTTTTACACATCAGTTTATTATTAGATGTAGAAGTAGCAAATATTTAGCATTTTGTCAGAAAGTTTCTATATGAAAAGGCTTTTTTTAAGTCACGGTCCAAACAAATTTATTTCAGTTCACTTGCTAACTTGACACCAAAACAGTCTCACAGAGTTTTTATTTAGAAAGACAAATGATAAAGTTATGATCATTTCTGAAACGTTAAAGCAATGCCCCATTTTCTCATCAGAACTGGCTTGATTTCTTCAACATGAAACCTTTTTGTAATGTGTGCCACAGTAAAAATTTAAGCAATTAATCGCACTTTAAATTAAAATAAGCTTGATAATTGACATTCTGACGGTTCCTATTTTTTGTTTGCGTAGACATAATGCATTTTATTTGTGGTTTCGGTTTGCATTTCCGGTTTATTCATTGTTTTTGATTGTGTGGGTTTTATTTTGGATGTTTAATACATCTTCCAGGTCCAGTTTACAAAATTAAAAGTTTATTAGTATTTGAGGAGAAAAACTTGCATAATTATGCCATTATCAATACATCGCTTAAAACATGGTCTTAAACACAACATTATTGTTTATTGCAGTGATTTCTGGGACAACTTATTGTCCAGTATAATTGGTTATTGTGGCATCCAAGAGCATTTTTGTCTCACAATCCAACATAAATAGCAATTATAAGCTTTAGAAAAACAACGGAATGCAATTTAACAACATTTCATTGCTTAATTGTAAAAACTAAAACCAACTAGACATTGACTCCATAAACAAATAGAAATATAATAACTACAGTAAGTAATCCAGTGAATACCTTATAAAAAGCATTCTTTATTAGACAAAGCTATGTAAAAAGTAAAATTAATGTATATGGTAAAATATTGGACACAATTACAAAAAAAAAATGCTATGTGGCTCTTAGTTTTTAATCCCAAGCTATATAATTTTCCCCCTCAAACAACTGACTGTTTCTTTCCTGCAGACAAGATAAATATGCAAGTCTTTTTCCAGACTGAGCTGCAGCGCTGCGTTACTCTACGCTCTGTAAATCCTTCTATAACCTCCATATACATATCCACCCCCATAGTGGTAACCAGCCAATACTTTGCTCTAACCTTCAGCTCCACCAGGAAGAACTCATTATGAAGTGAAGTAAGATTCCAAAAGTGATGAATAACAAAGATTACAAACAGAGACTGATTGTTGTTCAAATAATAATAAAAAAACTAAAGAAACCTGGTTTTAATCCAGTGTTCTTATTTCCAATTTAACACATAACAATTGTCCTCAAAGAAATGGAGAACTCTGACCGGCTGCTGTTATATAACAAGTTAATAATCAAGTCAAGTGATAAGAAATTATGACTTTATATTTACATTATAACTTTCAAACCCACTTTGAAAGGTGTGGTTTATCAATCTCTTATCTTTTGTGGGGGTGAATTAACAATAATCCCTCAAACTTTAGAATGTGAAGACAAATATATTTAGAAACAACCAAAAATAACAGCTTACTTGATTTCCTTTCTGGTTTTTGCATAAGCAGCATAAAATATCTGAAAGTTGTTTGAAGCTACCTTTGCTTTTTATATATATATATATATATATATATATATATATATATATATATTACGCAACAGCTGCATAATACTTCTTCTGTCTCAAGTATTGACAGAAGAAAATTACATGCGTCAGGATAACACATTCTGCTGAAGGATAAATCATCCCGAAAGTTATTGCGGTAACCGATGATGGTTGTCTTGAGAAAGTTTTCCAGTAACATAACGATAACGGCATCATAACAATGCAAGAATACGTTCTCAAAGATCAATGAACTGGAAACACTAATGAAAATTTGACACTGGAACTGGAAGACATTTTAAATATACAAAATAAATCAAATGAATAATGAATTCTCTGAACAAAGCTGTCCTTTAAAAAAAAAAAAAAAAAAGCCAAGTTGAGACCATTACACCAGACTGAAGACTTTTGTCAACCAGTTTTTGGTAGGAAGAGCTAGATAAAAGGCAAAAATTATAAATTATGGAAATTATTGAGTTTGTTTTAATTTATCATGCGATTAATTGATTTATCGCTTATTGCAACAGGCCTAGGGAAAATAAAAACTTTTGATAACGTATACCTTTTTTTATGCTCTTCACAAGTAACTACACTTATCTACTTTTACTTGCACACCTAATAACATGATGAATGATAACATGCATTTCTTCCCTTATGTAACAGGAAGACGACTAGGTTTCCTTCACAAACACAAAAGAACCTTTTCAACTTTTCATAAGTTCCTCCTGTTTGCCACCCCAAACAACCAAAGCCAATAAAAACTAGCTAATAGCTGCCTTAGAATAAGCCAACAGTCTGACAACGTTCATTCATCTCACAATTGGGGAACAACGTCAGCAACAACACGGATGCAAAACCTGCAACATGCAACACAATAACTTGTTATAACCAGCTCGGGGAGCCACTTTCAGCCGTTTCAGTCCACAAAGCGCTGTGATGAGTTTGCAGTCTGACATAACACACGGGGTTCATTGTGACTGAACTTCAGCCATCACACTGGAGTGCCAACAAAAACCACTTTCATTGCTGCCATTGCGTTTGCAAGCAACAGTCGATATGCAGAAAATTGCACAATTACTCTTGTGCCGAGCGGAGGCCGCCTCTTCCGTGATCTGTGTGAGAAAGGAAGCGCCTTCCGCAACCCTCGGCCACAATCTGTGTCCTTACAGTCACCTCCATGTTTCTGAAGCAGAAAACCACAGCTTGTATCGCATTACCTGCACAGCAGTGCATGTATCAGACATGCATTCCAGGTCTGTGGATTTTTGTTCGGTTTTTATGTAAAAATCCACTCACGGTAATAGTTTGCTCCACAATTCCTATTTTTTATTTTTTGGATGGTTGAAAAATCAAGCACAAATATCTAACAGTACGCTAGCTTGAAGCATCATAAAGATAAAAAGTGATTGTGCACAAAGTGAAATAAAATGTCTAGGCGAGGTATCACCATAACACGGAAAAATCAGGTACTTAATTAAATGTTGCTTTGTATTTAAAGTCAACTTCTTTATTGTGTCAAAGTTGTCATTAACATCACATCCTCTTATTTGAAAGGGGCAGTATTATGTATTGTCCAGCCATATTGTGCAATTTCTTTGCAAAATAACATTCAATGTTACTTTAAGATGTGACTTTAATGCTGTATATATTAAACCAGGACTTTAAAGAAATCTGACTATTCAATTTAACGCCATAAAATAGAGTCCCTGTCTCTTTAAGAAGCTCTTGTTCTTTCTGGCTCTCCGTCTTCAGGAAGTCGTCACAACAAAGTTCCTCCATTAAGCCCTTAACAATGTTTTACCAGCATTGCACTTACTTGAGAAAGAACAATCATTCAATGCAGTTAAAATTTTGTCCCAGAGGGAAGAAAACTAATCTTTGTCATTCAACCAGTGTGGAACAGTTCATTTACAAATATAAAAGTTGACAATTAAGCAAATTAATCTATAACAAAAAACAGAAAAATATCATGCTAAGAGATATGTATTCTATTCGCATTTCATAAAGTAGGGAAAATGTATGACAACCAAAACCCCCGCCAGGCCCCCAGTATATTATATCCCCATCATCCTCCTAGAACTGACTGAAAAGGTCAAGTACAAAACAACCTAAACTTTAACACAAATTGGCAAATGAGGGGAAATTACATTTATAACCAGTTACTCTTAATATTATATTTTATAAATAAAAAACATTAAAATAGTGACATTTAATCATCAAAACATTCTCCTTCCACACATATTTCTGCTCCAATTACTGTGTTTTACAAGAAATGCAGAACAGTACTCAATTTTATGGTGAGGCTGCATTTGACCTTTTTTACTGACTTACTGATAAATGCTTATACACTCAAGGTGGATAACAATACAGTTTGACCCATCTGTATATTTTGATTTCAAGCAGAAATCCAACTAAACAAAGGAATTCACCAAAATTATCATTTTGGGCACTTTCACTAATCCAACATTAGCTTTAAAATTCATAAATTTGCATTTGTATAACCTGAAACCTATTTAAAATGACACAGTTCTGGCTTGACTTGCGCAAAAACTGATCAAAGGTATTCCTTAAAACTAGTTACATTTTTTCTGACCATTGACAAAAACAGTTTCAATGTAAATTGAGAAAGAGGGGGAAAAAAGAAAGACGAATTTCAGAATTCCAAGAACTCTTAATTTTTAACTTGGTCAACTTTGGCATTCCTTAAAAGTAATAATAGTTTTCCAGAAAGAATAATACGTTCAGACATAGAGCTATTTTCAACATTTTGCTAGCATACATACTGAAAGCAATGAAGCAAATAATATTTATCCAATTGAAAAAGGTATTGCTGAACGTTTTACAGTACTATCCAAAACACCAAATTATTCAAAGCATTTTGATACATCTTGAGTTTTATGCAAAGGAGACCCACAGCTCATGAAACAAAAAAAATTTGTAAAGATCAGAAAAGGAAGTTGAGGGGAGCGATAAGAGCTGTTAGGAGACCAATATATTCTGCTCAATGTCACAAACAACCTTGGGACAGCCCTTATCATTACAGTAAATTTGTAGAAATTCAACAATATTGCTAAACTTAGTACAATCTAATTAGTTGCTTTAAACTATAACAATTGCTCTACTTTAAAACTGAATTCATGCACAGCCCGGCCTATAATCCAGATATAAAATACCCAAGCTCAAGCAATCCTAGGAAATAAGTCATTTCTTCTGAATGTTTTCCAAATAAATATAATGTGCACAAAATGTTTTATAGAATGCAAACACGAACAAAAGTTCTGAAAATGGCTGAAAAGATGATTAACGGTATAACTTTCAGACTCTGCTCTCTAAAATGTGTACAACATGTGCATGTTTTACTAACTGTGTAACCTAAATTTCTCCTCAAGCCCTACAGGAGGTAATAATGTTAACTTAAACCTTGAGCCGGCCCTGGTTTGAGGTCACAACTTTTAGTTTCAGAGAAATGACCTCAGAATGTTGGACTTTAAAATGCTATACTTTTCATAATTTCTAACCAACCGACATAATCTTTATAATCACACCCAATTATTTTTGAATGAGCTTTTAAATGAATTCATCTATTTTGACAAACACCTGTCAGAAAACCACTTGCATACATGGCTGACTGAAAGCAGTGAAATAGGCATTTACTCAAGTATCAATTTGTATGCCAACTCCATTTTAGGGGCTGTATCAATCACTCATTTTCAATTTTTTAAAACGAAATGTACCCAAATCGGGAATTTTTGATGTTTTAACACCCGTAGAAACAACGTAGTGCTCTGTAATGTACAATGTTCAAGCTATGTGTCAAGTATTGGGAGACAGAGCCAGGTAGCCTGATAAGCTAATATGACAACTAACGCAACAAAAAGAGTAGAAAAGACTACTTAAGCGTTGACACAGCATACTATAGGGTCAAGACAAATCAAACACCCGTTATTAGAATATCAACAAGGCATGTGGCCGCCGTGAAAACATTATAATCCCCCTGTCACGAGCAGCATCTGCTAGCATGTAGCCTCCGGTGAGGTTTTGAGGCCTTCTCCTAGCTTCCACCATCGCCATAACTGAGCTCGGTTTCATTTGGGAGCAGCTGCGCCGTAGTTTTAACTTTCAACCAGGAGCGAACAGTGCAGATATACTCACAGTCCAAATGTTTCTTCTTTGGGCCCATAATTTCGTGCGTGGTGGCCTTGCATACTGTTTTCGACACCGCGGATCCCGTTACACTGTGCTGGGCTGCCGTTATCCTGTCCGTAATGCTCTGTCCCGACATCTTCGCTTCACTCAATGAAACAAAAGACTCCAAAAAAAAAAAAAAAACCGCGGAGCCCGAACGGCTTTAGCCTCCGAAGTTAGATTTGCGTTTCCCCCAGCTGTTTAAAAAATGAAATCTGATATCCACCGCCTCCTTTGCCTCTCAAGACCCCCCTTTTTCCCACCTCACTCGGAGGAAAGAAAAATCAAAACTAGGCTATGGCAGACGCGGACCAGAGGAGGGCGGAATATAAAGGAAACCCGAATCTGACAAGAATTGATATATATTTAAAAAATAGATAGATCTTCTTCTTCAGGCAGGGTCAGTCCCGATTCATTCGGATTTTAGAAATGCCAAGACAGTGAAGGTTTCTTTCGCTGACTCATTCGACCCGGGTCTCTGTCTCGCTCTCATCCCGATGTAGCGCCGCCGGTTCCCTGCCTCCGCCGCTCCGCAAGTCGTCGTTGTCGCCGCTCCTCCTCCTCCTGCTTCTCCTCCCCCAGTTCTCCCTCCTCCTGCTGCTCGCTGCTGCTGCTCAGCGTCAAAGCGCCGTGAAAGGAGAGAGCAGAAGAAGAAGAAGAAGAAGAAGAAGAAAAAAGGACCTGTGAGAAGGGGAAATGGCGGGTCTGTTCCGCTTTGCTCTCGTGAACACCACTCAGCAGCGGGCTTACGATCAGCATCCGCGGAGAATGCGCGGCTGTGCGCAGATCAGCTATGTGTGTGTGTGTGGTGTGGGGGGGGAAATAACCAACCTGTCGGTCTGTCAGGCCTAGATGGATGAAGCTCCATCTGAGTAATGGATGGAGCTCAATGGGAACCAACACAACGGGCCTAAGTGAAAGGTCTGGTTCAGTCTGAATAAACTGAAGTGCATTTTACATGGATTTGACGTTAAACACAAACACAAAGGGGTTAAACGGTTTCCAAAATGTGGCCAAATAAAACCAAATAAATGTGGTATCCATTTTTATTCACCACCTCTTTTATTTCGATTCCCGTCAATAAAATCTGATCCATCTAACTACAGTTTCTTCTCCCAAGATGTGTCTCTGATGCACATAACCTCTCACTGTGTGCTTTATATTTTTCCCTTGTGATGTATATAAATATATTCAATGTCTGTACATTGTAAGCATGTGAAACTAAGGTCAAATTCCTTGTTCTGTACACAGTCTTGCTCATTAAAGATATTTTTAATTTCAGTTCATCATCTAAAAATGGAACGAGACCTGTAGTCTAGGCAGGAAGGATCTGTCAATAGGACTAGTATTAATTAGTCAGGGTTTTTGAATGATGATGTTGGCAAGCTTTATTCTGCACCCCTTGAAACACCTGCCAATTTATTGCTCTGTTGCACACACCCATAAAAAGATCACATCATAAAACTATCTTTTCAACAACTTTGCATGGTGTTTTAATTTAGCGGTTTCTCTATAACTTTCAGTTTTCCAATGTGTTCTAAATGCCTAGACAGCTTCACTTCTCAGTTTTTGTGTTTTGAAGAAGTAAGAATGATGTTTTTGCCGATCTCTCCGTGTTTTAAAGAGTCTACGCTCTGTGAAATTGATCCTGTTCAGGTTTACGAGTCTGCAGAGACTGTTTGAGATGTTGAATCAAATGCTGTCCAGAGTTCTTAAAAACTCAACACCAATATAGACTTGGTTTGTTCTGCGTCATTAAAAGCCGTCAAATAAAATTTATAAAAATGAACAAGAAAAATGAAACATAGAAAACTCGCTTGGGTTGCAACTGATGGACTTTATTTTCCCCCAGGCACTTACAGCATGCTTCAGTAGAATATTCAGTAGAACTAAATATTTTAGCCTCTATAGAAGAGAGGCAAGATAAGAAAAAAATAATAATAATACTAAACCACACAAATTTTCCTTAGAGTTTACCATAAGCCATGTGAGGAATACATCCAATATGTAGAAGGGATTACTCTGGTTGGATGTTACCAAAATCAAACCTTTTAGTTGATTAGCAAATTATTTTCTTCTTAGGACAAACACTTCGTCTTCTTCTTCTTTTTCACATTTGCACTACAGTCATAAAATTCCAACAAAATACTTTGAAGTTTGTGTTTTCAACGTGACAAAATGTGAAAAGGGAATGAATACGTCTGCGGTGTACGTACCAACTACTTCATGAGTTGTTTCTGCATTTGAGTGCGGCGGCATTGGGGGTAACATTCGTCTTTAAGCAAGCTAAATGAACAGCACTGAGAGGGAAGCCCAGCACTCTGAGGTCGCAGGTGGCATCTATTGCTGTGCAACTCCAGTGCCAGGGAAGCAAGCAGGATCAATACACTCATTCAGGAGGCTGGTATCATTTGTTGTTGGAAGCCAGAGACCTTTTGATTCAGTGAACAAACGGCTCTCCTTCACCGACAACCCATCCTGAGGCTCGTCATGACTCAGGATGACAAGCCTCACGGAAAAATAAAGGCCGCTTTAAGAAATCTCTCCCGCCTTCAGTAACCGTCTCTTCTTTGGCTTGTTGCATCTCTGTGATGGCGGCGATTTTTACACTTAGGTCAACAATTTGTGTGACTGATTCTGGATGCTGGTGCATCAGGGCTAACGGTTCTGGAAACAAAAATATCATTTTTTTCACTAAAACCTATGGAAACCATGTTTTCTTCAGGTTTACAGTTACCTTTAGTAAGTTATTTAGTAAAATTATATGTATATTTTTTGGTCTTTCTTTCAAAGACAGCATTTTGAATTTTGCATATTAAAAAAAAAGCACATTTATATGTAAAGTTCACAATGTTCTTTGCTAGTACAGACCCTTCTTCCTCCTCTGCTGCAAATGGTAGTACAATGTGAAAGTTGGATAATGTCGCTGCCACATGACGTACACACAGAGTCACAATTTTGGTTATTCAACTACTTTATTGCAAATTGCTTGTAAGAATCCATTAAACAGTACAGAATGTCTATACAGGTTTTTTATTATTATTTTCTGGAGCAAATAAAATCAGACAGGCATTGCGTGAATTCGTATTCAACTCCCCTGCATCAATAACCTGCATTTACAGCCAGAGTATTTCACATTTTCATTAGCTTTGGCATTTTTGCTCATTCAACTTTGAAAAAAAGCTTAAGATCTGACAGTTTGAATGGAGATTGTCCAAGAGGTTTAGGTACAAATTCTTATATGGGCCTGTACTTTGACTGGGCCATTTTAACACATGGATATGCTTTGATCTAAAAGGCCATTTTAGCTCTGCTTGTGTCTTTAAGGTTGGCCTGCATTATGCATTGCTTTCTCTTGGTCTGTTGTAGAAAATCCCGATGAAATATATTACAAGTTGTGTTTTGTAATATGATGAAAAGTGGAAATGTTCAAGGGTTGTAAAGGTCATGCTGGTTTAGTATCTCAGTGTATTGTAAGCGTGTCTTTTGTCGAATGTGATGTTATCTGTGCTGAAGGCTATGATACGACCGTATAGCTCCTCGGAGTCTTTGGATTGGTTAGGTCATTATCTTTTTATACTTATTTGTACAAATCACTATAGGTATTTTCAAAGAAAAGATCTGGAATACTGATTTTCGTGACCTCAATTTCGCTTTTGCTTCATGTGACAATGACCTTTACCCAGATGCTTTTAAAACATCTGCTGCTGTAGCTGCCTTGCTTTTTCATTAATGGAATTAAAGTTCAGGTCAATGAGAGGAGGATAGTGTTTTTTTGTTTTTCATTTCATTAACTGGTATTTTGGATTTTTTTTCTTTTCTGATTTCATTCTGAACGTTGAGGTATTTCAAGTTTCCTGCTGTTGTTCCGTAAGCAAAAAAAAATCATCTGAAAAAAACTAACAGTCTACAACCACTGTAATCGCTCAAAATAGCCTGATAATTTGTAGAAGCAAAAAAAAAAAAAGTTAATATCCAATTTTTTTTTTTGTGCCAAAATATAGCTTTTTACGTTTTCATTTACTGACCTGGACCCGGCCCACTTCACTGAAAAAGAAAAATCACTCCATGCATACTGCAGTCCAAACCCGGCTTCATCTGCTCGGAGCACAGGAACGCCTACACAAGTATTGTTCATTAGTTGCACCTGGGCATTTAGCTCAATCTTGCCAAAACAGGTTGTGGCGAAGCGGTTGCTGTTGGATTTGGTTCTGACAGTAAAACAGCAGCCTTTGTGCAACACGCGAAAACAACTGTTGCAAACAAAGGCCACAATGAGGTGTGTTGATCCTCTTACTGATTCATACATGACTAGTGAGCCAGTTTCTCCAGTCTCTGGACAGAATTCACCATGCTTCAACTTTTTCACACTTTATGTTGCAACCCTATTCCAAATTGTATTAAATGAGTCAAAATTGGACACACAAATATGCCATTTTGACAACGTTTGGAAGTGGGGGGCTCACAATTTACATAAGTATTCACAATCTTTTACGTACGTATTTTCCAGGCACATGGTACAATTTTGTAGCACAATCAAGTAACCATGTTACCTTCAATTATAAAAGCTGTATACATCGAACATGACTTTAAATAAAGTTGACCTCCCAATTTGACTCCTTGAAATTGGCCTCTGTCTCTTTAAGAAGCTCTGACTGCTTCCAACAATGATTCTCATTTTGCCGTTTTCAACCTTTATTAGGGCTGAGAAGTAGTTTGCATGATGAGCTCAGCAAACGTGTGGTTTTGAGCTTCAGAGTAAAAGCTGCGAATACCCACATAAATTTGGTTTCTTGGTTTTCTGTTTTTAATAAATCTGAAAAGCACTTACTATTACTTATCCACGCTGACATATTGAGGTATGTGCTCGCAGAATTTTGTGGAAGGTGATTAATTTGACAACATTAATGATCCCGCTGTCGTTGGGGCTCGTGACAAACAGTGAGGTTGATTCAGATTTCAGAATAAAAGTGCATTTATTGTGGTGCATAACACACAATTTCACCCTCCGTGCCACTACAGGGATGATTATAGATTTCATAAGAATTGTTATCAGCAAAACGTCTCCTCGACCATCAATGATCCTGAGGTGGAGAGGACTTGTCTCATCTTTGCAGATTTTACAATGTCACCATTTCCATCCTTGCCACGACAGAATTCTGGAAAGGTAGCACCAAAAGCGTATTTTATATTGTGTAATTTTCTGGTTTGGCAATAGGACGGCTAAAGAACCTGGACGCTTCATCAGGTTTTTCCAACAGTATTGATTATTATATATATATATTTTTGGACTCCATCTTCTTCCAGAATTTTTAGAAGTGTTATTGCCAGCAATTAGACCTTATTTTGTGCTAATAAAATTAAATCATCTTGATAACCATTTCAAGATCAGAATTTGCCATGTGTTGTCAATCACTCACTCTTTCCATATATTTGTCTCCAGGACTAGTTTTGACTGCCTGCAGTTGTGAAATTTCCTCTTGCAAAACATGTGCAAGCAGTGTTGGTCATTACTTTCTATTTGTCACTTTTTTTGGCTGAATAAGCACCCAAGTGATTTCCTGCAATGTTTTGCAATGCACTTTTTTTTTCTTGTGCAAAGCCCACCATGTTAAAACACAGTAAGCATAATTTAAAGCATGGCTTCAATTTGAACTTTTTGAATCAAAATTGGCTTCAATTTGAACAATTTGGACAGCAGGTAATAAAAATATTGCTGTTCAATTTTTCCAAATCTGATTATTATTATTTTTTAAGCTTGTTTGTAAGCT